GTCCTTGTTCCTGCATCGACTGGGGTTTATTGTTTGATTTAATATGAGGGGAGATGCTAGTTTTGTATGGGGAAAAAATAGTAGAACGGGACAGATGGAACAGAGTGGTGGAGAAGATTCTAGAATCAAGGGAAAAGAGGAGTTAAAGGAGGAAATTTATAAGTAGAGGAGTGACCAAAAGGCATGAAAGGAACTAGCAATTGGTTATTGGGCATTAGGTTGAGCAAATAAAGTTGGTTTGCACTTATATTCATAGTTTTATTTCTATTTCCAGTCTTGTAAGGAGTCCAGCTCCATTTAGTTCTTTGTTACTCTATTCTGTGGTTGTAAGGAGCATTTTGTTCCAATTATATTAGTTTATATTTCAACCTTCATTTGGTTCCTATCAGTTGCATTTTATAAAAGGATATTTCCAATTCCATCAATCAATTTAAATTCGTATAATAAACTTGTCTTCTGTCCCCTCCATATCCTTCTATATCGGAGAGCCAAAATGGAATCAAAAGGGATTTCGTTCCCCTCCCCTCCAAATGGGCTGATTCTATTTTCCTGCATCCAGGATTCAAACCCGCATCCTATTTTTTGCACGAAAACAACCTGACAACCATTGGGCATGTTATATCTGTTGGTTATAGATGCATTTTCATTTTCATTTTCATTTTTGTTTACCTTTGATTCAAACCCACATCCTATTCGTTGTACGAAAACAACCTGACAACCATAGTGTTATGATATTAAATTGCATTTACCTTTGCAACTTTAAATAGTGTTAATAATACGGGCAATCACTTGCAAAGTTGTCTCCATTTTTGAGGTTCCTGCATTTTATATCTTTTGGTTATAGACGCATTTTCATTTTTTGTGCTTCTGCTTTAGCATTTTCACCATCATTAGGAAGAGGCGTCTTCGTCTGTTTAAAACTTCAGTGTATTTTAGAACATCTCAGACTTTTTTGATATCATTCAATTTGTGTCCAACCTTTCTGAGCTCTACCTGAAATCCATCCAAAATAGGGTTTGGTAGGAGCATAGGGTGAATGAAAAATCTTTGTTTTCAGGCAAAAATCCTAACTATAGTGTTACATATAGCCTGTATAATCTGTTTTATATTTTATTGGTGCTTTTGTGTTGATGTTTTGGCATTTAATATTTCAGCGGTGAAGGAATCCCAGATATGTTATTACTATTGGTTCAGTGGACCCAAAAGACCATGATTGAGAAACTTACATACAGTGATGAAGTGCAGGTTAGTCATATTCTTGCATACCATTGAAGTTGTTGACACTCGAATGCTTCTTGATCGTTAACAAAGAGATCTAACCATCACTTGACTGTGGCTACCAGTGTACTGTTTTGGAAGTCAAGGTTATTGAAGGCCATGGAACTACTATTGATGTTGTTTTAGTTAATGGCGTCCTTCATGAAGGAGATCAAATAGTTGTACCTGGAATGCAGGTAAGCATCTCGGATTCTAACTACATCTTTTAATAAAATTGCTTTCTGCTTCTGACTAATGAAGTTTTTTAATATAGGGTCCAATTGTTACCACAATTCGAGCTTTATTGACACCTCATCCAATGAAGGAACTTCGTATTAAGGTACTGTTTTATCTTGATAGGAAAACTATAAGTTAATGTACTGCATTTGATTGATTTAGTTCACCTTCACATTTGTTGCTTGATAATGTTGGTACTTAATCCATAACTATCTAGTGTGCATGTGGGCAAAAGACTCTTTTGGTCTTGGTTGATATTATTTTTATTGATTTGGCACTTAAGCATGGTTTGGGTAGGAAAAAGGCATGTTGAAATATGAATGGGTGTGAATAATAAGTACAGCGTTGGAAGATTAGGAAGGAAATGATTATGAGATTCTTAACATTATGCTTAACTTGTAGAAACCAAGCTACAGAAAGTATAGTTGGTCATACTTCATATTGTTATGGGAAGTTTTCATTTTTCCATCCTAATAATCTTAGGGCTCTAGACAGAGGATACAAATTCTATTATTTAATATGTCTTCCAGCTAAGGTAATGTTTGTTTAATTTCAGGGATCATATATCCATCACAAAGAAATCAAAGCTGCGATGGGCATCAAGATCACTGCCCAGGTACCTGGTGATTATTGACCTGACTTCTTTTATGCTTGTTTTTATCCCATATTTTTCTTCATTTTTATGTTGATAAATGTGTAGAGAATCAGAGGCTTCCTGTTGATAAATGTTGATTAGATTTCCTGTTTTCCAGGGACTTGAACATGCTATTGCTGGCGGAAGTTTATATGTGGTGAAGCCTGATGATGATTTAGAATATATTAAAACCGCAGCCTTAGAAGACGTGGAGTCGGTCTTGAGCAGGATTGATAGGAGTGGTGAGGGCGTTTGTGTCCAGGCATCTACCCTTGGCTCATTGGAAGCATTACTGGAGTTTTTGAAAACTCCAGAAGTGAATATTCCTGTTAGTTCTATAAGCATAGGCCCTGTACATAAGAAGGATGTGATGAAAGCCAGTGTAATGCTTGAAAAGAAACGAGAGTATTCTACTATATTGGCATTCGATGTCAAAGTCACGCCCGAAGCCAGGGAACTTGCAGAGGAATTGGGCGTTAAAATATTTATTGCCGATATCATTTATCATCTATTTGATCAATTTAAGGCTTACATGGAAAACATTAAGGAGGAGAAAAAGAAAGAATCGGCTGATGAGGCAGTCTTCCCATGCGTTCTGAAGATCTTACCAAATTGTGTTTTCAACAAGAAGGATCCAATTGTTTTGGGAGTTGACATCCTTGAAGGCATTTTGAAGGTATCATTTTCAGTTCAGATAATCATTTTTTTCAACGTGGTTGCTATGTTTGTTTGATAGCATTTTTCTCTGCATAAAATTGTGTTGATTGCCTTAGATTAGGGTAAGTTCGACTGTTGTATTTTAGTGTTGCATCTGTATTTGAAAAAGGAATTAGCAATTATATGTTTTTTGCTATTGGTTAAGTTTAGGCTGCTGCTGTTAAGTTGAGGAGGTGGAAGTTAATGTTTAGACTCTAAGTTGGCAGAATATCTTCCACTATTAGAACTGTATTTTATTTGCCATGGTATATTCAAGAGCCTAGCTTTTTGTTGTTGTTGGTATACTCAAAAGAGCCTGGTGAAGTTGAATAAACAGAACTAAATGTGGAACTGGAATGTTGTGCTCGACCCTCATTGTTATGCTACAAAATTTATCAGAACTGTTCTAATAGTGCTCGACCCTCATTGTTATGCTGATTCTTCTATATTTCCACATTGTAAAAATGGTAGAGCTTTATTGTTTTTTCTTAAACAGAACTGTTCCTACTACTATAATATACTCCCTCCAATCTCTTTTATAAGCAAATTAGACTTTTTAAGTTCATTGAATAAATGATGTATTTGGACTATATATAGACTAGATACATCAATTTCTCAATGAATAAAAAAGTTGAAATTTGCTTATAATAAGGAATGGAAGGAGTATCTAGTAACCACCCTTAAATTTTATTAAAAAATGGCTTTTCTTGGCTTTTAACCTATACTATACTGTTTGATGCTTTATGTTCTTGTGTTATGATGTATCAGACTATTCTTGAAAGTCAGTTTCTGACCATAGATCTACTAGTGTTTTGGGTGATGGTATTAATTGGGTCATGTTATGTATGCAATGGACTAAATTTGATCTGTTTTCTTTAAACTTGCATCTAATACTATCTACTTGACAGATTGGAACTCCAATTTGTATTCCTTCCCAAGATTTCATTGACATTGGACGCATTGCCTCCATTGAGAATAACCACAAACCAGTTGATTATGCAAAGAAAGGGCAGAAAGTAGCCATTAAGGTATGTGCTTAAGTTAAAGTTGGGTTTTTCCTAAATGGACCTTTGTTTACGCGATTATCCCCCAATACTTGGAATTTTGAATATGGATTTAAAACAACCTTAATGGCCATGATTGTGCGATGTTGAGAAAGGAAAAAACCCGACTAATGTGTGTTTTAAGTTATTTGTAGCAATAGTTTAACGATCAACTAAATTTTTTCACACCGGTATAAAAGGGATGATCCTTTTTTATTGATTTAATTGTGGTCTATCTTTAGACTTGATTATTGAGAAAGAGGAGAAATAAAACTATAACCGTTAAGAAGAGATAGTCTTAATGTTCTGTTCTACTTGGTTTGCAGATTGTTGGCAGCAATTCTGAGGAACATCAGAAAATGTTCGGCAGACATTTTGAGATTGATGATGAACTTGTAAGCCATATTTCACGGAGATCTATTGATATTCTCAAATCTGATTATCGGGTAAGTCATTAATAATACTAATAATAATTCTAGATAAATGCTTTGTTAAACTCTTCCGGAATGGCTCTGAGATATTGGCGCATGGCACAGTCAGAAAAAGCACGTTGACTGTTCCGGAATGGCGTGAATAGGTGATACGGCTGAGAATTTGGGAACAGGAGCGGCGCGGAGCCGCCACTTTCTCATTTGCTTCCTTTTTCTTTATTGTTTTCTTTCTTCTTTTTTCTTTTATTTTTAAGTTTTCTTTCTTCTTTTTCCTTCTTTTTTCTTTTTTTTTCTTCTTTCTTTGTTTTCACCATTGTTATATTTTTTATCAACGATCTTTCTTCCTAATTTTTTGTTTTAATATTTTTTCCAGCATCTTCTCTCACCTTTTTCGATATTGTTTAAGGCAAAAAGTTTTCTTTTTCTGATTTGATACTGTTTTGTACTTTTAAAAAGATAAATTTTTCTTTCCTTACTTTTCCAATCTTTTGAACAGCTATGGCACCACCTCCTAACTCCTAACCTTCATCATCTAATGCTCAATCGGTGTCTTTGTACGAGTGGTAGAATTTCTAGGGTGGAATAATTAAGACTTGTGGTTTTTATTTCTAATTATGAATGCTTCATGAATTTTGAGTAATTTATTTTAGTTTTTAACTATTATGTGTTTATTAGTATTAAATATTATTAGTGTCTGCGTCACTAAAATGATGATCGTTTTGTTCTGCATTTCCGTTCTGTTCCAATTTTTTGGATGGCCCTGCTGCCGCTATCTGAGTTTAACAACAGAGGATAAATATATCTATTAACAGTGTGTATTAAGCAAAAACTAGGCTTCTCTTTACGTTCATGAGCAGACTTGACATGATATTGAATCACCTCATTCAAAAACACATCAAACTTCTTATGCAAACGTTCCATCTTACCCCCCAAACCTTAAGTTCATCCAACCAGTAAAATGGACAAAATTGCCAAAGTTAACTCCAGATATTATCACGAATTTGAGAACCATTCCTGCATTTCCGTTCTGTTCCAATTTTTTGGATGGCCGCGCCCTGCTGCCGCTATTCGAGTTTAACAACAGAGGATGAATGTATCCATTAATAATGTGTATTAAGCAAAAACTAGGCTTCTCTTTACATTCGTGAGCAGACTTGACATGATATTGAATCACCTCATTCAAAAACACATCAAACTTCTTATGCAAACGTTTCATCTTACCCACCAAACCTTCCAAGTTCATCCAACCAGTAAAATAAACAAAATTGCCAAAGTTAACTCCAGATATTATCACGAATATGAGAACCATTTCCTTAGGTTTTGTTTGGGAGTTTGGAGGGGAAGGGAGGGGAGGGTTTTGAAAAATACGAAGGATTGGGTGAAAAGAATAGAAGGATTTTGCTTAAGAGGGTTTTGGAGGGTTTGTTTTTCTTTATAACACCAATAATCTTTTAATTTGGGGAACTCAAAATTTGTATTTGTATTGTAGGAGGGTTTTGGAATTTTTGTTGTTATACTATTTCCAAAACTAAAAATACATTAATGATAAATATTATTTTATCATTTTAAACAAAATCTTTTTTTCAAAAAATTAAAATTTTTTTTATATTTAAAAAAAAAGTCATTTTTGGAAGCCCTCCCTTCCCCTCCTCTCCAAACTCCGAAACATAGCCTTTTAACTCCTTAACTCCTTCGCCTCTTGTCTTCTATTTTTGAATATACTTTGCTCAGTACAACTTGACTCACCATATTTTACTATTGCATATATCAAGAAATCACCAATGTCTATTAATTTACCTTTTTTCTCAAACTCATGAATGGATATCACCATTTGTTTAACTTCATTTTCTCTCACATTGATGGATTTTGTTGGTCTGTCTTAAAGTTTCACTGTTGAATTATTGATATAGGATGAACTAAGTAATGAAGAATGGAAGCTGGTGGTGAGGTTGAAGACTCTTTTCAGGATACAATGAGCATTCATTTCTTATAAACAATGTTTCAACAAAATGTTTGGTATAATGCCTAATTTCAAGGGATTTTGCGAGGATTTTGCGGATGGGTTCACCTTGTAGGCCAAACTTCTGGGGCAATGATGCAGATAGAAGCCTATTTATAGGGGTTGACTGACTTGTACAAGAAACTCCTATGCTCTTGCAGCTGGGAACTTGTGGCCAAAAGCGTAACTGTCAAGGACAAAAGGTCCAAATTTTGTGATTTACTATACACATGTGGTATACATGGAGCGAATAAAAGTTTAATTTTAAATTTGTTAAATGAGGAAAAGGAAATATTCACGGGAGTATTTGTCGATGTTACAAAAAAAATTGTCCACTTTTGGTTTCCATGGTTCACAAGTTTTCAATTTGTTGTTGATGCATGGTATTTAATGCTCAGTTATTTTCATCTTTTGGTGTTCCATCTCATCAAGTACTTTGGTTGTGGGAACCTTGAAATTCTATGGGTTAAATTAATAATAGCCTTTGAATTTTTTTTTATAATTAAATTTAACTTTTGAAAATTTATCTCTTCAAGACGAACATTTGTTATTTAAAAAATTAAAAATAAAAACAATAATCTCAGACAAGTTTAATTTAGGGGTGGCGGTTAGGATATCTCTGGTATCAGTTTTACTTAGTTTTATTTTAATAAAATCAACTTCTATCTTTATGATTCCTTATTTTCCTATTGGGCCTTCTCTTTTTGTATATTTAATTCAGTTTCATCACTAATTTTATAAGGCTTTGATCGAGAGTTTGGAGTGAGGGATTCGAAAAATAATTTTTTTTTACAAAATATAGAAAATTTTTAAATTTTTTTAAGAATTTTTTTTTTGGTTTAGAATGATAAAATAATATTTATTATTAAGGTATTTTAAAATTTTCAAATCCTATAATAAACATTATATTTAAACAATTTATTTTTGAATCAGAGAGAAAAATATAACATCATTTTAGCAAGATGCTTACTAATCTTTCTATTGCACCATCCCCTGTATACTATGTTTTTTATAATTTTCTCACACTTGTATTCCAAAAATAACATTGTTTCTGTGGAGCCAGATACCATGCTAACTTTATAATTGTTGCTCTCCTCCCCTTTCCTTTTTTATGTTCAATGATCCATTTGTTTTCCTCCGGCCAGTTTTTGGGTTTATGGTGAATACCCACCCCGTTCAGAATTTTTTGTCAAATTTCTTTAGTATGGTTGCAAACAAAGAACAAATGACTAATTGTTTCCACCTCAGATACACAGGGTACAAACACTGTCAATCATTTCAACCTCTCTTTAGTGGACAATTTTTCATGGAAAAGAAGCCAGAACTGTTGCCTCTGAACACCTTCCTCCAGTTAACTCCGGTACCATCATTAATCAGCTCATCATAGATTTCTTTTATAGAGAATTTCCCCTGTTAATCATACAGTTTCATTGACTCTGCATCTGAGTAATGTACTGTCTCTGCATCCAAGACCAGTTGGCACCGGCTTCTATTTCTGTAATATCTTTCCCTTTCATATAATAAACATTCACCCATTTAACCCAAAGATTGTCACTTTTCTTGCTGATGTTCTATAAGCACTTCATCATTGTCACTTGATGACAACCTTTGGGTTGGAGAGACACTGCATCCATTACTGAGTAATAGAGCAGAATATGCTCTTGACAAGCTGAACCCTTCCTGCATAACTCAAGAGCTTTGTAGACCAGTGCCTAATTCTAACAACTATGCGATCCACAAGGAGCATATAATGATGAATACTGAATTTTTTTGCTAGTTAAAGGAACCCCAGATACATCACATGCATTTTCCCTTCTTCAAAAGTAGTAATTCTTTTAATAATTTTCCTTGTCTCTATATACTAAGTATTTGAACAATTTATTTTATTCTTCAAAAATCTTTCATTCAATACAAATTTTAAAATTTTGAAATTAAATATTTTTTAGTGTTATAAAAAAAACAAATCTTCAAAATCCATTCAATCAAAATCTTTTTATTCTTTTTTATTAAATCCTTTCTAAATTTATTCTCTTCACCAAATCTTTTGTATTTATTTTTTAAATCTCTCCTTTCCTTTTAAACTTTTAAAGAAAGTCTAAGAGTTTCAGTTTATTCTTTCTAACATAATGTTATAGCTTATCTATAGTTTAAAATAAGTTAGTCATAATTGGAATCTCAAACTTTGCTATGACCTTAATATCTTTTGGTTATATTTAATTTTTAGCTGACTATTCTCCTTTTTATTAAACATGTTCTCAGTCATCTATCTTTTGGTTTATATAGATGTCGTAAGAGTCAAATATGTTTTACAGTCGAGTTTCAAATCAAATACTTGTGACTAGGATATTTGTGATTAAGTTTGTATTGGTTTTAAATTAAAAATTTACTTAATTCAAAAATGAATTTATTTGCGGTTCGATTTTAAATTATATATTAAAAAAATTCGATTAAATTTAATATAATTTAATTTGGATCGATTTTTGAATATTTAAATTATAAATTATATTTTTATTAATATTGTAAAAATATTAATAAATTATAGATTTAATATATATTATAAAATGAGACTGATTGATTATGATTGAAGTGATAAAAATAAATAGAAGTTAATAAATATCATTAAAAAAATAATTATTTAATAATAAATTTACGTAACATATAATATTAATAAAAATATATATATATATATATATATATATATATATATATATATATATATATATATATATATATATATATATATATATATATATATATATATATATATATATATATATATATATATATATATATATATATATATATAATTTAGTTCAGTTTAGATCGATTTTAAAAAATAAATTTTAAATCTAATTCGAACCGAATGATTTTTATAAAATAACATCTAAATATATTCAATAAATTTTGGTTTTTATGATTTTTAGTTATTTTAAATTGATTTGCAACTTTTATTTAGTTTTGTTTAGATTTGAACATCTATTCTCGTGGCTCCTCAATATTTTTCTAGACCCAAGAACTTATCTCAGTCAAAGAAAATATGTCCATGACTTTTGTGACTGCAAACCTACCTTCAATCTTATGTAACTAAATCAAAAGCTTTCAAAAGATGATTTTGATCTCTATCATCATAAAAAACAATAGAAAAAACTCATTGGCAGATTCATATGTACCTAATGGCTTATACAACCTAGGTTTAACTTACCCTTTGCCTTCTTTACGACCTACACATTTCTTTTAGGAGATAGGTTTGTTTCTGCCTTACAGAAATGATTTTTTAAATTATTTTTAAAGATAAATTTTATAAAATTTATTTAATAGTATTAAAAGTTTTTTTATATTTATTTATTTTTAATTAAAAGATTAATTTTGACATTCTATAACATAAATATGCATTATTGAAGATCAAAATATAATCGAAATTACAATTTTTTCAAAAAGTTATATTTTAAAAATGATTTTTATGAAAAAACTATTTGAAATAATTTCAACATTAAGTGATTATTAAAAATTTTAATATCTATTTTTTTAATAAAATATTTAAAATAATATTTTAAAAATAATTATTCAAACCTAATTTTCATTCAAAATTTTATGAAAAATTTCTTTATAAATTCTTTTACATAAAATTATATTACATTAAAAATATCATTTTTTAAAAAAGTCAAAACAAATTCACCCTTACTCATCCTATAATCTATTGTGACCGTTTTTCTTCCATTCAAATTGTCCAAAATCTCACATTTCTTGAAAGAACATAACACATTTCTTGGATGTTATTTACGATAAAATCTTACACCCTACGGTCTGAGCAATTAACATGTCGTTCCTCTCTTATACACGACACCATAAAATATATGAAAAGACTAAATTACTCATACCCAAATATTTTTTAAAAATTCCAAATTTTTGTGACCAATTGGATTTTTTCAATCTTTGTGACGATACTGCAAATTTCGAGGCGACTATCAGAAATTTAGTGAGATAGTAAAGAATTTCTGGTATTTTTGCAAAATATCTTATATTTTGTATCGGATTTTGTATCCTCCCCTCTCTCCCTCTCTTTCTCTCTCTCTCACACACACAACCACACATATCTTAAAGTTTGAAATTGACAACTCAAGAAGCTCTTTAATTTCAAGTTCTTATGGGAAATGGCAGCACACTGATATCATCAGGATTAACCTAATACTTATTAGTCACGATACCAGATCACACTCTCCATCTTTATGTGTATTTGCTTCCTATTACTGATGCTAATTTGGTGCTAGAAGCACAATGGCTCAAGACTCTAGGTCCCCACAATGTGGATT